CATTTTTAATGAACGAGCGCCGAAGGCACGTGAGTTGCCTATTCCATCAACCAAGGGGTTTGAATGCATCATAAGGGGAAGCTTCGAAAACGAATGCTCCATTGTCAGCCACCACATGACTTTCATTTCCTCCACTGAAACGGGTCGGAAAAAGTCGCCGCAGGCATTACGATTCAATAGGCTTACCCTATAAGTAAGTAAGTAAAAGTAGCACGTCATCAAGCCAGTCACCCAGAACATAGAGAAAGTAACAAAGTTAATCGTATGCCACAGTAAGTCCGACAGCTTGGTAAAAAGCAATGCATTGCAACGACACCACATAATGATTTACACAAAGTCCAGCCATTAAATTATAAATATGAGAGCCTCTATCATCCAGAAATCAAGGCATACATGATGTGTGGTGCTAGGTTATTCCATGAAGAGGCAAATAGGAAACAGTGGTGCTGTGACAGCGGAAAGTACATCACAGGGCATCTTCCGACCATCAGTGCTCCTTTTCATAGCAGTTCCAAATTTGTCAATGATGCAAGACGTTACAACAACCTCTTTCCCGTTACGGCTCTTGGTGTCACTGCAAGTTTTCAAAATTCCCCCACTGGTCAAGGTCCATCATTGGTGAAGATCCAGGGGAAAACCTATCACAGATTATTCAACCTAAGCTCAACTGAAAGCACAAATAACATTTCTCTGTACATAGACGACGATGCTGAACGCCAGAAAATGGCAGCAGAGCTGAAACTTGATGTTCATATTGTGCAAAGCATCTAATCTTATTTGTATGAGGTCAACAATTTGATACCGTCCTTCCATCAATTAAGTCAATGCCCGTCAAACCACGCTCGAGAGAACAAGTAAAAGAACCCACGGTCCTATTGAAGGTAATGTCCCCACCACAGCTGAGATATCTGGGATTTTAAAAATAGTCAGTTTTGACCCGCGCCAAGTGGCGGTTTGGAGGCACGGTTCTGATCGGCCCAGCTTCATCAATATTTTTGACCCAACACACAAATGCTTACAACACCTCTTGTTGTTCCCTCATGCTACATCTGGGTGGTTCCCCAACTGGAAAGGTCCCCATGGAGATAAAATCACACAGACCAAATGGTATCACTTTCTGTTATAATCTGAGGCACGGTTTGTCCAGCTCAATCGATTGGTGCAGGAGTATTTTGTGGACATGTGTTCACGCGCAGAGGAAGAGAAGCTTTTATGGATTCGTAGAGATCAAGGAAAACTTACGAGAGAAACTGTGCGACAAGAACTAGGTGAAACTATTGAGGCGCAAGGAGGTGTTAAGGCTGGCAGAGTTTATCTCCAAAGTACATTTACAAACAGCCCAAGGTATATGCAAGTTAAGTATCAAGATGGAATGGCAATTGTTACTAGATTAGGCCGACCCAGCTTCTTCTTGACCGTAACGTGCAATCCTAAGTGGGAGGAAATCGTATCAATTTTATATCCCCATCAATTAGCTGCTGACCGCTCTGACTTATGCAATCGTGTCTTTCAATTGAAACTCACTGCTCTTCTGTCTCTTACAAAGAAGGGAAATCTTTTGGGGCCATTGGTGTCCATTCTGTACGTTATTGAGTTTCAAAAGCGTGGCCTCCCTCATGCTCATATCGCATTCGTGTTCAGGGGGTGGGCCAAATACTGCTGCAGAAATAAATGAATTTGTAAGCGCGATAATCACTTCCACTGGCGAAAGCAATGGCGAGCTTATGGAATTAGTAATACAGCATATGGCACATGGCCCTTGTGGACTGGAACGCCCTACTGCCCCTTGAATGGACCAGGTAACAAGAACGTGCTCCATAGGATTCCCCAAGCAATATTGTGACGAAACCTACAGAGACGAAAGAGGCTATTTGCATTACAAGCGTCCCCAAGAAAAGCCCTTCATATCTTGCACAGGTAGAATTATTGACAATCAGTGGATAGTGCCTTACAACTCCGCGATAGTGCTATTGATGGAATGTCATTGTGAATGTACTTGAATAGATGCTGACGATGCGATCTCTAGATTAAAAATATACCAGACCGTGCCAAAGTAGCCGTTGTTGAGGACAACGATAGCATCGATGAAGTCGACCAATACGTTTCATTAAGATACATAAGTGCGTCTGAAGCGCTATGGAGAATTATGGAGTTTGATTTCACTGACCGCCACCCTACTGTTAATGCTCATAGTATTTGAGCAGGAAGATGAAAAGCAAGCTATGGAAAGAAGTAAGTCGAAGTTGATGTTGTATTTAGAGAGACCCAAGGTATCACCATTACAAGATTTAACTTACCTGGATATGTACGAAACATAAATGTTGCACACCAAAGAACCACTCAAATGTTCAGTCCCACCCATAGTATATCCATTAGGTAAACACTGGCTGATGAAACGAGTTCGTGGTGGGTGTGTCGCTAGAATGCACTGGGTATCACTATCGCTAGGGGAACTTTACTACTTACGAGTACTCTTATCTAAAGTACCAGGGAACAGTTATGAAGATCTTAAAACAGTGGAAGGCAAAATATATCAAACATTCCAGGAAGCGGCCAAGGCAAGGGGGTGGGAACTTTACTACTTACGAGTACTCTTATCTAAAGTACCAGGGAACAGTTATGAAGATCTTAAAACAGTGGAAGGCAAAATATATCAAACATTCCAGGAAGCGGCCAAGGCAAGGGAGTCCTTAGATGACGATGATGAATACAGAGATGCTCAGATAGAAGCTGCAGGCTTTAAGACAGGTGCTGGGTTAAGGCAATTATTTGGAAGCATGGTATTGGTCGGGGCACCTTCAAGGAATTTGTGGGAAGAATTCAAAGATGCACTGGCCGACGATCATGTAGACAGAGTTCCTCACAATCATGACAAAGCATACAATGATACATTACTGGATATTGATATAAAGCTACGCTACCATGGCAAGTCATGCGAGGATGTTGGCTTGCCTGCACCACGAGATACATCCACTGAGGTGGGAAGGGAATTATTACGGTGGTCCCAGTCGGAAATGGAACTGTATATTAAGGAATGGCTACCGAAACTCACTGAAAATCAGAATACCGTATTCAGTTACGTAGTTAATAGCATTGACCAACTGAAGGATGCCCCAAAAATAATATTCATTGATGGACCAAGTGGGACTGGGAAGACTTTATAACTACGAGTGATTACATCTTATCTCAGAGTTAGGAATAAAATTGTACTCTGCACCGCATCAACAGGCATTGCTGCTCTCAACCGTGAAGGAGAAGACACCGCCCACTCTACTTTTAAGTTGCTTCTTGAAGCCACGGACCCAAGAGCATATTGCAGCATCTCAGCCAATAGTCAGCGAGTTCAACTTTTAGCCCCTTGCGGTCATATTTATTTTCCACTAGTTGTCCCCTCAGGTCATATTTAATTTCAATGAAAAAAGATTAAACACATTTCAACAAATCATTCCAAATGTCGGTCGGTAGATGGATAAATACAATCGGTAGATGTCGTGTGAAGTAAAACATCATAATAAATGGCAGGAAAAAGTGATTTCGGGTGAGTCCGAACAAAGGACGGCGGGCAAAAATTATATATTTGTGATGTTGGGTAACACCCGACATATTACCGGAACTAATTTTTTTTTATGTCGGGACCTGCCCAACACATGACCGCAAATTGTTAATAGCAGCCTCAGTGATAATATGGGATGAAGCTCGAATGTCTCAAAAGCACAATTTTGAAACCCTGGATCGTACACTCAGTGACTTCCTTGACAAACCAAATCTTCCCTTCGGTGGTAAAGTAATAATTTTGGGTGGCGACTTTAGGCAAATACCACCAGTTGTTAAGTACGGGTCAAGAAACGACATAATTAATGCGTCAATATAGTCATCCCCGCTCTGGACAAAGTTGCAGTCGTTCCATTTAACCCAGCACCGAAGATGAAAGGGTGATCCGGATTTTCTGACTTTGTTTTGGCTGTTGGGGAGGATCGTATTGGGAAGGTCAAAGTTGCAGAAGCCATCGAGGAAGTGCATGTGATTCCATTGATGTCTTCCTATTGAATGATTCCATTGTAAATGGGGTCGATACATTAAACTCGCTAATTAATTTTGTATATCCAATATCTGTCCTAAACGATCCATATGCATGCAGTACAAGGACCATTTTGTCGGGAACCAACAATAACATAGATGAAATCAATAATTTAGTGCTCAACAGATTGGATGGGGAATCAGTCAACTAGTGGAGTGCTGATACGCTGGTCTGTGATGAAGGAAATCCTGATGCTAAACATTTCATTGCTGATCTTCTACACGCACTCACTGAGCCTGGTGTTCCCAATCATAGGCTGACTTTGAAAGAAGGTACACACTGTATTGTTATAAGAAACCTCTCTTTTCAAGACCAAATAGTAAATGGCACGAAACTCTTTGTTACCAAGATCTCAATCTTCAATTGAAGCACAGATTCTTGGCGAGAAGAGCGGTGATTCCAGAAAAGTGCTAAATCCAAGAGTCCCATTCAAATTGCAAGCTGGTCGGTCTGGTTTAGAAATAATGAGAAGACAATTTCCTTTGAAGTTGGCATATGCTCTCACTATTAATAAATCACAAGGGCACACATTGGACACGGTTGGGCTGGATTTACGCAATGATGTATTTTGTCATGGACAACTGTATGTAGCATTAGGTAGAGCTAGAAAAAGGGATTCCTTGAAAGTACTTGTGTCTAAATATAGATATGAAGATGATGAAAGAACTCCCCATACAGTGAACATAGTCAATATAGAATTATTGCGTTAAAACACCCAAGTGGCTTAAGTGGGTGAGCATCGAAAACGGATGCCTTAGATCGCAGAGCGCCGAAGGAGTGTCCATAGCTAGTATAAGTACTTAGGTAGTACTTAAGTACTTATACTGTTACATAGTACTTACGGGCAACGTCGATAATATGGACGATATGATGCTTGGGATAATGCGAAGATATTCCCATGACCAATAAATGTACTCCAACAGGGACACCGAGGCATTTATTTATAAAAATTTTACACGGGTGATAATAAAATATCACATGAACGTAGACGTACGTGACTCGGCGAATGACTGCGGGAATGAAGTGAGAAAGCGTCTCAGAAGCTGACGCTACTTCTAGCCCCGTTATGTTGAATGTTATGTTGCGCTGGTAAGGATAATAATCAATAATGGCGACACACTACAGTATGGGTCAAAAGAATTGCAACACCAGCGGACTAGGTCGTGGTTTTTGCCGTCGCCAATAGTTTTAGAGGAGATCTAGCTTAATAATTTTTTAAATAGGCAATCGGTGCAGAAGTTATGGAGTTATGCGTGAAAGAACGGGTCGTGAAAGGATCGAGCTGCAGCCCTGCCATCTATTAATAGAATTCGCTGTCAGACAAACAAATTGCCACGAGGGAAGAAGGATGGCGAAGAATGGAAAAAAAAAGTCCATTGGCTTGGCGGTACCGAAACTTGGATATCAATGGAAAATGGATGCAAAATGACTTCAGTAGTAAAATGACTGATTTCATTTAAATGGGGCTGAGACGTAATATGGGTAATTAGTAAACAGGAAGTGAGGATTTCACGAAACCGGGAAAGCATTTATTTTTAGAACTATGAAAATTCGATTATTTTTTGTTTTCCTTTGACACATCTTTTAAATGGGGCTGAGACGTAATATGGGTAATTAGTAAACAGGAAGTGAGGATTTCACGAAACCGGGAAAGCATTTATTTTTAGAACTATGAAAATTCGATAATTTTTTGTTTTCCTTTGACACATCAATAGCACTAACGCGGAAGTTCCATGGATTTGAAGAAGGAAAAAAATGTTTCACCGATCTTAACACATTTCAGGGGATCCTGACCTCGCAGAGCACGCCCCTCACCGAGTCGCACGTCACGTCGTTCCAGCACGGATACGGCTCCCTGGGCTTCAGCTTGGATCGGAGCCTGTACGTCCCGCCGTCGAACCCGGGCCTCACGGCGTTGATCACGAGCTCGGGGCACCGCTCCGTCTCGCCCTTCCAGAAGTGGAAATCCGGCTGGCCGTCGCACCAGTAGAGAGACGCGGTCTCCATGATCGAACCTGCTCGAAACGGCGAACGAAAGTTTTCGACGACGACGCGAGGAACCCACACAAAAAAAAAACGGAACCGACCGTCGACCCAGGTGTAGATCCCGTCCTCGTCGATGTCGTCGGCCCCGAGCCAGGAATCCTCGATCCCCATGTGCCGAGCGATGCGTTCGTGCCAGTCCTGCCCCTGGTTGTCCATGACCACATCGCCGCCGACGTCGACCCTACATTGATCAGTCGCCGCGCCGAACGAGTGGAGCCCTTGCAGATTCCGCAAGAAGTGAATGTGATTTTTCGTCACCATGGCGAAGGAGTAGCGTTTGGGGACGAGGGCACCTGGGAAGATAAAGTTATCTCAAGGATTATCTCAGGGGTTATCTCAAGGATTATCTCAAGGTTAAGATCCAATCGATTTCAGATTTCTCACGGTCGTAATAAAGGACAGAGGTGCCATCGGAGTCTTCCACCTCGAATTTGGACTCCTTGCCTCCGAGCCGACACGTTTTCATCCCAGTTTTTGGATCAGTCTCCAGAGAGAACATTTTGCATTCTGGTTCCCTTAGAGATAAAAAAAAAAGAGGAAACGTTCGCGTTGTCCAGGACCGGAAAGCCTCTCACCCCACGCAATAAAGTTACCTTGCGCATGACTGGTCGCAGGGGTCGACGCTCAAGGCCTCCACCCGAATCGGGTCGATGATCCTGGCGCTCACGTTGTGGACGCGATCGTAGAACATCCCCCTGGGGATCGGCGGGGGCGTCGGCTTTTCGGGGGATGGCGGGGGCGTCGGCGGTTTGGCGGATGCCGGAGTCGGCGGCGGTCGGGTCACCCGAACGGGCGCGTGAGAGGCCTGGATCCACCTGATCCAATTCACGAATCTGAAGAAAGGGAAGCGGAAAATTTTTTCCCGTGTCGGGAACGATGCAAACCCTTACGAAAGAGTCCCATAGGAATCCGTAGGAATAGATTAGGCTTTCTTTCGTATCTGTATGGTTGCAATAGGGATCTCGTAAGTCTAATTGGGCACATAATTTCCAACACGGAGCCACAATAATCCCAAGGGAATGTATTGGAATCCACTAGATCTTCTCAAAGACCTAATGGGACCCAACTTGGAAACTCATCGAATTTTATGTTTTCGACATGCCCCAAGCCCTAGTGGAAAGGTTGCTTCCGAAAGCATGCTGTTACAGCTGAGAATTGTTGCAGACCACTGAGGGACTGAAGATTTCTTTCAGGCTACCTGTAAGACGCAAACATTCTCGCGGGACTTTTGAGATGTTCCCAGATTCCGTGACGAGAAATGCTAACGCGTTATTATTATTCCCAAATTTAGCGAAAGGTAGTAGTCTCTTCTTGCTTGAGAGGATGAAATGATTCTTCCTCCACTGATCGATCTGGTCGATAATCGATAGTCTTCAATTTTTCACCGAATGATCTCATCTGAACGCTAATTTTTAACCTTCCCAGCGTTGCGAGGGCATTGCATCTGACATCAATTCAATATGTAAATGTCGCTTATCGCAATTCACTGATGAACGCTGAAGTCCAACACTGGCTGAACGTAGTGTCAACATTGCGATGTCATTTCTTAAGGGATTAAGGGAGTGCCATACGCAGGTTCCGTTTGCGATTTCCTCCATGTCGAATTCACCATGAAGCACGAAGTGGTAGATTTTCTCCTGCACCAGCTATGATTAGTGTATATCAAACCGTGCATTATTCTATGGCTCCTGCCCATCCATGGGAAAACTATTACTCGGTAATGCTTTTAGAACAAAGAGCAGGCCAATATAGGCCCAACATTGACTCCGGTAGTCATCCCATTTGGTAGTAATCCCGGTTGTAATCCCAGGATTTTAAAACCCCCCCAAAAATCAAGGAATCTTATAGGACCCCATAGGGATTCAATAAGTTTTTCATGCTTCAAAAACCAAGAGGAAAAGGAAGCCCTATCTCACCGGCTGACTTTGGTGAAGACGCCGAGCAGCCCCGGCCTCCTCCTGGAGCAAACCTTCTCGCCGTAGAAGTGGCTCACGATCCCCTCCACGGTCCAGCGGGTGTCCGGGAAGGCGCGGGACGGGAAGACCATGGGACTCCCGGAGTCGCCCTTGCACACCGTGCGGTAAGCTGGCATTTAACATCGCGTTCGTATCATCATGCACTGCCTCTCATGCCCTCGGAAACAAAGCCCCAAAACACTGCATCCCAAACTAGAGTGTACCAGCCCAGGTACAGATCTGGCATGCCACTGGCCCCTGTACCGCTGAATTAATTATATATATTAACCGCATGCAAACCAACCAGCCTTGAAATAAATAACAGCTGTCATTGGTACGGCTAAGGCCCATATGTAAAAGCCTGGACAGCTAGACACGTTCTCGATGGTCCGCACGTCCGCGTCGCGTGGGGATGGGAAGGGAGCATGAAGGGTAGGATGCCAGATACGGCATTTCACGCGTACCCCAAACAACCCTGTCTACGCGGCGGGGAGCGGACGCTCCCCTCCATCGTCTACTATGGATCCATCAACCGCCAGGGCTGAAAGGGAAGTGGATGCTTTCGTAGAAGACCGGCACCCCGACCCAGGTGGAAAACTGCGCATGCGCATTGGGTCATCTTGTCCGGTCGCTAAGGTTACTGCGGACAGAGGAAATAAATGTTTAAAAAAGCGACAAACCGACCGCAACATGCAATAATATACATTTATATGTAAAGGGCAGGATGTTCCTACAGCAAACTTGATGGGGAAACGTCAGACCTTTCGGTCGTTCCATGTCAAATCGCCCAACAGGTCATGGGTGGCTACGGGGTACCATTTCGGGATTCGACGGAAATTGGCGTCCGGGATCATTTGGCCCAGTGAAAGAAATTGGTGAATTTTTTCTTCTCGTTCATTTGTTTAAAAGTTCACATGGGAATATTAATTAAAGGTTCAGGTTTTGTCCGATTTCAGCAAACGCGGTGTCCTTTTAAAGGAAATCCCTTGGAGATTCCAAATACCCCATTAATAAAGATATTTACAACTTATATTTACATCGAAATGAGGATATTTCAGCGTGTTCACAAAAGTCCGCTTTCCTGTTGCAATGCGCCATTCCTAATTTCCTTATGATTCCTAATTTCCCCAATTTCGCTTCGATTAATTTTTTTTCCCCCAATTTGGGACCAAAAAACTGAAAGGTTTTTTTAAAACTAAGATGAACTTTCCTCAATCGGGATGAAATTTCCTCCGTCAATTTCGAAACCCTCTCGGCAGACCCTTTTGGTATCAAAAGAAAATGTAAAAAAATTCATCGAAAATTAAAAAAAATTCATCGAAGCCGTATCGAACTTTTGAACGACGCCCGGAGTACGGCGGCGTTTCGCCATTTCTCGTTCGCCTTTCTCCTTGTTTGGATTAGCGCGATGATAAATTCCGCGAACGAAAACGAACTGCATTGGATTCACAAGAAAATCCTGCGCAGTCCTTTCGAAAAATACGGGACTACGGAATTCCGCTTGGAATTTCGGATTTGGTGCGAAAATGTTTAGTTAGGCGGAAATGGCTGTCACAGAAAAGGAGCGGGATTCGCCTTCATACTAACGTTAATAACGTTACGTCACGGGAAGATCTCACCGTCGGGAGAAGTGGTGTGATCGTAACCGGCGCAGAACATGTTCCCGTTGAGTACAACGTTCTTCGTCCCCTCGACGTGTGTCGTGACCCGTCGACAGTCGGCGTTGGAGACGACCGGGAGCTCGACCTCCACGAGGACGTCCGAGGGGTCGTCCGAGTCGTCCTCGCCCCAGCCGGCCACCGTCCCTTTCGTCTTCGGCTCGAGGTTCACCTCGGAATCGTCCGGGAGACACGCCAGCTGCACCTGCTTCGTCAGCTTGACGGGCTTGGCCAGGTGCAGCAGGGCGATGTCCGAGTCGAGGTTGAACACGTTGAAGTCCTCGTGCACGATGACGGCGTCCACCTGGAACAGGAATCGCAAACAGATTTCACTCGATCGCGAGAGGACAACCGGTTCGACTGACGACAGCGGCGACATCTCGCCGACCTGCTGAAACTGCACGAACTCGTCGTTCCTCGAATCATTCCTGTAATGCTTCCCGAGATAGACCCCGATCCCCGCCGGGTCCCTCGGCCTCGCGGTCCCCCCAACGGCGACGCAATGCGCGGCCGTGAGCACCCACTGCACCCTGACGACCGCCCCCCCGCAGACGACATCCCCGTCCACGCTGACGGCCGCCTGCCACGGCCAGGCGCCGGCGCTCGACTCCCGCCCCCCCGCCCCGATCAGCTGCTCCTTGTCGTCCTTCACCCCGCACACTACGAAACGACACGGTCAGAATCGCCATCGACTCGATAGGGAGAGAAATTCTGACCTGGCACGCAGCGGGGCCGTTCCTCGGACCAATGCCCTCCGTGGCAGCTCCGATACGGATCGCCTTTCAGCTCGTAGTATTTCTCGCAACCGTATTTCACGATGCTTCCGCTCGCGTATTTCTCGTTTTTGATGCATTCCGTTTTGTTTCCGCCCTCTAGGTCCGGATGCGATTTCCCGCACGCTTTTATGTTGAAATACCCGTTTGGAATGGCGTGCAGTCGTCCGCATCCAGGCTCTTCGTCAGCTGCAGCACGAGAACGATTGCTCCGAGTTTTTTTGTGCAAGAAAACCTATTTATTTGTTTGTTTTTTTTTTATCAGATAGTTCTCGGGCGTACCATGGGCAGTGAATTGTTCGGGGTTTGCGACAAAGGTGCAGCAGTGGTGAGCCTCGACAGGACACGAGAGAGAGGGTTTCCTGGCGACGCAGTTCCCCAAGTGTTCCTCCGGAACGCAAGAAAATCCGGCTTCCTGGCACGGGTTACCCTCGTTTTCGGAGCTCCTCCTCATGCGGGTTTTCGGCCGACAGCAGGCCTCGTCGGCCCGGCAATCGTCCGTCGTCGCCGTCGGCCCGGGCGCGCAGGGACAACGCCCCGGGAACCCGGTTCCGTTCTCGCACGCCCCGCCGACGCTCCTCAGCAGCTCGGGCTCGCGACCCAACCAGGCCAACCCGCAGTCGCACCCGATGGGATTCCCTGCAACGCAGGAAGGGGAAACGCATGAAGACGAGGAAACGCGCCGCGACCCCCGACCCGACCCGAAAAACCCGGACCTTCCAGCTCGAGGATCCCCCGTCCCCGGGACAGCACCTCCAACACCGGGCGAAACGCATCCTCGGCCAAGGTGGTGATCTCGTTGTCGCGCAAGTCGACTTCCACATTTGGGTTCAGGCCTGACATCGGGAGCGATTTCCAACATCAACGAAATTCTACTTTTGCAATCCGTCACGCGTCGACGATGGACGCCGCGAAATCGATCAAGAAAAGCCATTCCAGTCCGAGTTCATCCTCGAGTAAAAATCGGCGAAATACCTGTGATGGCTCCAGGTCGCACGGTCGAGATCCCGCAACCCCGCAACCGCACCGTTCCCAAGGCCTCGCTCCGAAAGGCCAACACCCCGGTCCCGAGCGTGGGCCCTAGCCCGCCGCACGCGTCGCAGCGGAAGACCTCCAGTCTCGGGAGAGCCTCGATCACCTTGGAGGGGAACTCCGAGAGAGGATTGTGACCTGGAGGGGAAAGGAGGTTCGTCGATTGCGCGTCGGCGGATTTTTTGATGCACATGCATCAAAATGATGCGATTAATTCCGCATTGGGTAAATCCAAAAGTTTACGACTGGATTTTTCGCAACTGCATTTTCAAGATGAGCATTTTTTCCATCTTTGCTTCGAGTTACTTCCGATTGAGCAAAAGAAGCAAATTGAGATTTCTCCTTCCTCCCACGTGGAACGTTTCCTTCGTTCCTTTTATGGCACAGCTGTAGGAAATTTTCATTGTTAACCAATTCACCTCGAAAGGGTGGACCCCAATCTTATGAGTTTCCTCGAACTCTAATAATTAGCACATTTGAATTGTTTATATATTTCCCAGCTTCACTGAAGTAAAAAAAAATCATCGGGCAAAAAAGAAATCTGGAAAAACGAACCCGCGAGGGTGAGAAAAACTAAATTCAGATCTTTTCGTTTGAAATGAATATGTTGCCGGAAAAAAAGTCGACGCATGATATATTTCCATAGCAACGGAGCTGGAGCCAAAAAAAATTCTCAGAACCGTCCCCACAAACATTTCCGAAGGATCAGGAGGACTCTGAAGCAGGCCTCGCCTAAGCGAACTTAAAGATCTGCGGACATCGCAACCCGCGTTTTCCGAACGCGAACCGATTAGTTCACGATCGGAGAGTTCGACGCTCCACATTCGCGCTCACCGAGTTCCAAATCGACCAAGTTTGGGGTGTGCCATCCGCGGGCATCGAGTCTCTCGATGCCGTTCCGTTCCAGGTCGAGGGAGACGAGGCCGGCCGACCGAAGGCCTGGGACCGACTTCAGCGAGGCGCCCGCGATCGTCAGGCGCGCGAGGCGGCGCATCTTCGGCAGGACCTCGAACGGGAATCCCGCCAGGCGGCTCGCCTCGATCCTGATCTCCCGCAGGCTATCCCGCGAGGACAGGACCGCCGACGGATGCACCCGCTCCAGGCTCGTGTTCGCGATCCGCATCCGGTCGAAGGCCGCGCCCCCGAAGACTCCTTTCTGCAGCTCCTTCACCGCCGCGTTGTTCTCGAGTCGGAACATCCTGCTGGGACCGAATGCATCAGGAATACCATAATGGCGACGCAAAAAAAAATATTCGTTAAAATCTCCTGGAATTTGACAGAAAATCCAATAGTAGTCACCATGACGATAACGAAACCAGCCGGTGCTTAATCTTAAGCTTAAGTTTAAGCCGGGACCGTACCGCATCTGCCTCCATCAGCCTTCGCATTTCGCAGCTCGCCGACCATCGAGGCCATCAAAACGACCATCGAGGCCATCAAATTCCTTCGTTCCTCATTATTCATCAAACCGAAGTGGTTCATCCTCCCTATTTGATAATCCATCAGCATGTTGAGCATCATCTTTTTTTTTACCTCCTTTATGGACTCTAAGACTATTTTTTGCCATAACTTCTCTTCTACTCGAGATGAATGCAGTCGTTAGGGTATTATTTTAATTTTAAAACCGCCTTCTTTAGACGGCGGTTTTTCACTTACCAATACATTGTTCTCCGAAGCTAAAAAAAAAGGAACTTCCACTTAAACAGTTTAAGTTCAGTTCAATTTAATATAAATATGGGATGATACCATTCGACGTACGGGATTCCTCTCGTGGTTTGAAGATGCAAACGAATTGATTTATTTCCTTCCCTCGAGAAATTGACTGTCGATGAAAATTGACTGGTGATGAGCGAAGTTCTTTTTAAAATCAGTATTTCGCGCGAATTTCTGATACGCCGAGTCGGCAGTGATGCAAGGCTGTATCATCTACAAATTACCAGTATCATGCAGCAATTACCTTCATGCCACCACAGAACGCAAAAACGAAAAATGTGAAAAATTTTCCGAGCAAACACGAAAACTCACGGGAACGGCGAAGGCCACACGGCAGTCCCCAGCGCCGCGGAAATCTCCGCGCCGCTCGCGGCGTCGTCGCACCGCACCGTCGGGACCCCGAGCGGGTCGCAGGAGCAGGGTGCGATGTCCGCCGCGGGGCACGCTCCGCCCGCGATCGTCCGCGGGCGCTCGCCCGCGGACGCGAGCGCGGCGAGGATCAGGGAGACGAATACGACGGCTGCGGTCATGATCGTTCATTCCGGGCCGGACCTGTCCCCAGAGACGGCAAAAAATAAATTTATCACCGCTTCGCATGTAAGGACTTCATATACCACGAATCACAATTTAATCCTCCTCAGTAGTCATTCATTATCCTTCAGAAGACCACGCCGGAACCGTCGTAAGCCAGGATTTCCAAGGTCGTGGTCTATTTCCTCACAGCCTTGGCGAACCCGGCTCATTGCCTGGCTCCAATGTCCTTTCATTGAGGGAAAAAAGGGTCACCCAATGGGTCACCCGATGGGCCACCCAATGGATCTCCCAATGGGTCACACAATGGGTCACCCAATGGGTCACACAATGGGTCACCCAATGGGTCGACACTCCCTTCTTCAGGCGGGAATTGGAAGTCACGTGACCGGAAGTTGAATTACATGCCTGCATTTACATTGAATTACATACCGACATTTACATTTAAAATGAAAGAAATTCAAGGGAAGCCACGGAAGGAAAAAAAATCTGGAACCTGGAGATGGCGCATATTTGTTTTGATGGTAAAGCGAATGGAGATTTCATGAAATCTTCATTTTGTCTTTTTTTAAAAGTTTTTAAAGTGTTATATACATACATACATATGACGTTTTTAAAATATACGAAGGTCAAAGTTGGCCTAACAGGGCAAAATGTGACATTTTAAGTGCACATATCAAGTTTTTGAAAAGAAAACAAAATTAATGTATATTTTGGTATTCATCGAATAGAGCCCTAGGCCGGACTAGTTCCAAGCATTCTCATTGCGAGTTTATTCTCACGAGAGGCGACTCGAGCTTGACCTTGACCGCCACTCTTCCTCTAACCAAAATGTATAGGGTAAGCACCCCAGTTTTTGGCCACTTAAGCCCCAGTTTTTGGCCACTTAAGCCCCAGTTTTTGGCCACTTAAGCCCCACTTTTTGGCCACTTAAGCCCCAATTTTTGGCCACTTAAGCCCCACTTTTTTGGCCACTTAAGCCCCAGTTTTTGGCCACGCTGATACGAATCCCATAGAAAGTGTACACCCTGGGAAACACTGGGAGAACTAGTAACAGGTCCTCGTACGGAAAGACGTTGATAGAACACCTGAAAATGGCCAGATTAACTAATTATTCTGGATTTAAGCCTCACTGGCCTGCAACTGGAGACCGGCCAGAAACCAGTGTGCTTAAACCTATATTATTGCATATTACCCTCCCTATATTGTGTTAGTCTCCTGGATGATGCACCTCGGAACAGACCCAGAAATCACAGGACCACCGAGGGGATGACAAAAACCGAAGGATATACATCCACGAAGGATCCCACTCACCGACAGGAATCCATTTGGAGAATCCAGATGCTAGGCGTGCATTCGCAGCATGAGAGAGAGCAGCGCAGACGTCTTCCCACGGCACCACCACGACCGAGAGGGAGGAAGGCCGAAGACGACCGAGAGGGAGGAAGGCCTCAGGCTCGATGAGGCTGCGGCGCGGCTGCTTGCGTCATCCCCCCTTTCTCCTCAATGCCACGGTCGCTTCGCGAGCAACCCTATTTAAAAATGCCATTCCGTGCCTCCGGGCAAAATCCGCCTGTTTCTACAAACAGGTTCTCCGCCCAAGGTTTAGAACTACTTCCATTCACCGCATCAAGCGGCGTTTTGCCCTTCCTCGCTCACGCTCTCGCTGATCTCGCTGATCAACGTATTCATCAATAAATTTGAAAGAATTTCTCCCCAGAGCCGCAAGGAAGGCGGCCCCAGCAGATTAAAGGATTCGACCCGTTGTTGAAGGGATGAAAATGTTTCAGCAAGCTTTTCATCCCTCCGTCGGGTCGATGCAGGCATGGATGTCCGTAGCGGCAATGGAATCTTCCTTGGAATCTTCAATGGAATCCTTCGCCGATTGCCTTCTTCGCCGAAGGCGGTTTCACGCGGTTGCACACCTCCACACAAAGACGAATCCCAGCTCCCTTATGTTCAGTGTATGTAGCCGTGCTAGCCACACGCTCCTTTTAAGACTTGGCTGATTCAAATTACCCAAGCAGCATGTTCACGTAAACAAGATATCAATTTCTTGCAAACAATGTAAATTTCTTGCGATTGCCATGAAAATGACATTTCTTGACAATGGTTTGCGTAAAAATGATATAAAATGGACAAAAACTTTACATTCATTTTACTTAAAATTAACATAAACATGCTGTTTGGGTAGCTATGTTGACAAATACAGCCAACATAGCTAATTTGAATCAGCCAATTTTTAAGAGGAACTTGAAAGGATTTAGCTGCGTTGGGGGCAATTCCTCAACGGCGCAACGTGCGGAAGGATGCAAGTTTCTGGACGACACCCCATCCATCCTCCATCCATCCATCCATCCATCCATATCCATCCATCCATCCATATCCATCCATCCTCGATCCATCCATCCATCCATCCATATCCATCCATCCATCCATATCCATCCATCCATCCATATCCATCCATCCATACATCCATACATCCATATCCATCCATCCATTCATATCCATCCATCCATCCATTCATTGTTGCGGGGGCAGCAGCTTCAGGAGTGCCTTCCAATGGCTCCGGTCCTACACCAATTCATCAAGTTCTTCTGGGTATATCCCAAGACGTGACCATGCCAGGTCTTCAGCGTATTCTCACCACCTAGTCCCAGGTCTGCCCCTCGGTCTCCTTCCCTTTGGCTTAGCAAAAAAAGACTTGCCTTGCAAGTCTTACTTGTGGCATCCCGACCACGTGCCCGTGCCATCGTGATTGTGATCTCTCGATTCGGAGAAGAAGAGGTTCACACCCGAGTGTTTCCCGGATTTCTGAATTCCGGAACCCGTCGAGTCTCGTTGCATCAGCAGTCCTTCGTGGGAAACTCATCTCGGCCCCTCGTACCCGCGATCGCACTCTTTCGGTCTTTACCCATTAGCTTCGCCTTTGTGCCGAGTTCCTTCGTCATAACCGCAGACCGGATTAGCTCGCGCATCACTGCGCTTGCTTTACCGATCCGCGTGTCTGGTTCCACATTCTCTCTTGAGCCCTCTCACCTTGCCGAGGTGAGAGGTCCCCTCACCTTGCCGAGGTGAGAAGGCTTGTGTATCTCACCGACTATACTGGCTGGAGCGTTGAAATGAATGCTCCTCGTAGGGCCACCCATGCCAGGCTGGCTGAAGGGTAGAGGGCAGACGAAGAGCAATCCTAACTCTGTGACATGGTCAGGTCTAACAATAAAGGTCACACCCCATCGTCCGTCGCGCGGGCTACCAAGGAACGCTTTCGGACCTCCGGCAGAGGGATCCTTTCAAAAGTATGTTACAGTCTCCTTCATCAGCTATTCCTTGGAGATATACCCAAGGAAACCCGACCGATGGACCCGCTATCCATTTAGGGAGACTAATGGGGGGAAGCGCAAAGCCAACATAGGACTTCAGGATGTGCAAGACATCCGCTCTTCAAAGATGAATTATTCGAATATTAAATACAAATTGGACCGGGCCATTCCGAAACATCGGTTACTTTTCAGGCATGAACATGTTGAAATGTTGAATGAAGCGTTGATTCGCCTGAAATTTTTCATTTTGGAGCGGTGACCGTTTCTAAGCGATTGATCGTGTCGCCCAATTGAAATGAAAGCGTTTGTCACGTTTCCTTCCAGGAAATTCGTCCTGTCCCCCTTCGGCAACAAATTTCGCCAAATTTCACCCGCATCCCTGATGTTCCTGCTTTTTTTTTGGCGATGCGTGGAATCTCAAGAACTGCGAGATGAACATTTCATTAATTCGGAACACCGTCAAGCGAAGGAACCGATCCGTATTTTATTGTCCTGGACACCTTCCGGCTGGCCGCAATCACCGATGAAAAAAATTCACGGGAGAAAAAAAATTCATGGGAGAAAAAAAAATTCACGGGAGGAAAAAAATTCATGGGAGAAAAAAAAATTCACGGGAGAAAAAAAATTCATGGGAGAAAAAAAAAATTCACGGGATCCGAACCTCGCAGAGCGCGCCCCTCCTGGTCGTACACAGCACATCATTCCAGCACGGTTCCCCGGGATTCAGCCTCGATCGAAACGTGTACGTTCCTCCAGTGAGCGAGCGCGTCTCCAGATCGATCACCAGTTCGGAGCATCGCTCTGTCGCCCCATTCACGTCATGAAAGTCGGGTTGGTCCAAGCACCAGTAGAGCGAGGAATTCGAGACGGTCGTGCCTGTGCGAGAGAAAAAAAACGGCTGTGGAATGGAATCGTCGACCTGCTTCTTGGAACTGAAAACCGACCGTCGGCCCAGGTGTAAACCCCGTCCTCGTCGACGTCGTCGGCCCCGAGCCAGGAGTTTTGCGACTCCATCCGGTTAACGATGAGGTCGTGCCACGCCCGACCGCGGTCGTCCTCCACCAGCCGACCCCTGCCATCGCCCTCGCACAGGCCCTTCGCCGCCGCGAACGTGTGGGAGCCCTGCATCTTCCGCAGGAAGTGGATGTTCTCGGCCGTCACCATCGCGAAGGCGTACCTCCCCGGCACGAGGGCGCCTGAGGGGATCGAGACCTCTCCGGGTTACCGCGCTCACGATCGGAAACTTCCTGTCAGGTCCTTCCTGCCGGTTCCTCACGGTCGTAGTGGAGGTCGGCGCCAGGGACGTCAATCTCGATCCGGGAATTCGCGCCTCCGAGCCGACACGTTCGATTCCCCGTCCCCGGCTCCTTCCCCGGCTCCTTCCCCGGCTCCTTCCCCGGCTCCGTCTCCAGAGAGAACATTTTGCAATGGACTTCCCTTCGAGACGACGAAAAAATTACATTCATTGGGTCGACGGGCTGGAGAATCCTCACGCTTGCAATTACCTGGAGCATAAACGGTCGCAGGTGAGTCCGACCCCACCGGGTACTTCCGGTACTTCTGGTACTTCCAAGATTGGATGAAGAATTCTTGCATTCACGCCGGGGACTCGGTCGTACACCTTCTCGTCCGGGTGTTGAGCGCCTTGAAGATGATGGACTCAGTTGAACCCCTTCGACCTAGTCCTGGTACTTATTGGTACTTGATGTGTAATTTTTTTATCGTCTATGAGATGCAGTACGCCTCAAGCAGGGAATGAGGCTGTCATTTATGCGAATTCCGCATGTCTTGGCTTCACTTATTGTACATATAATTATTAATATTTTGCAGAAGAAATGTAAGATGTGATGTGTTGGACAGGCGTGTTGAAATCATCGTTTCTCCACACAAGTCTCTACAGTGTCTGATGATGTTCATGTCAGCCAGAGATGCATTCGACAGTAATGACAATGATTAATTAACAGATCAATTGTCTTTCCCATCGTGCCGTCATGGAACGGGGAGACGTTCAACATTTTTCAGGACAACAAAGAGTAAAAAAAAATATTGAGACATAAAAATCCCTCTTCTGATGGCTCAATATCCTTTGCTACTTTGGGACGACGACGCGCCCTTGAATAGGCTTAAGATAATCAGCAATTGAGACCTAGTCCTAAGAACCGATAGCGAAAAACTTTTGAAAGGAACTGCCGTTTTCTCATGGCATCAAGGGATGGTCGCATCGACCCGACACCTGTCTTCAACTGCAGCAGTAAATTCCCTCAACATTGTCGTAAATGCCCTCGGCGTTGTTGCTAATGCCCTCGGCGTTGTTGCTAATGCCCTCGGCGTTGTTGCTAATGCCCTCGGCGTTGTTGCTAATGCCCTCGGCGTTGTTGCTAATGCCCTCGGCGTTGTTGCTAATGCCCTCGGCGTTGTTGTTAATGCCCGCAAAACCAAACGCGCACCTTCCGAGAAGATTCAGACTTTTCGATACCCTCTCGTACGCTGTGATAGTAGGGTCACGTCGAGACGTACCCGAAGTCGACCGTGTTTCACCAGGCTTGGCAGGGTTACAGCAGCGTTGAGTCTCCGAGAAACAGGCGAGGGGCAGCAAGCCCCCCGAAGGGCACAGTCCCGCGCGATCCCGATGGATGCAGGAGAAGCCGGAAGCGAGACAGGAAGCGCTCGCTGCGACGGCGTTCGCGGAGGTCGTCCCATCCGCCGGGCGAGATTCCGCCTGGCAGCAGAACTCGTCGCGGCGGCAGTCGCTCGCGCTCGACGGCGTGAGCGTGCCCGGGGCGCAGAGAGACCTGAGCTCGGCCGGGACGCAACGGTAGGGGCATCGACGCGGACATTCTCTCAGGGCGTCCGGATCCAGGTCGGAGAACCTCGTTCCGTTCTCGCACCGCCCAGAGACGGACCCGAGGAGCCTCCGATCCAGAATCAGCCAGGCCAAGTTGCAATCGCAGCCGACGGGATTGTCTGGAACGACAATCACGCGGGATGACGAAAAGAGGGAAAATCTTATAGGAATCTTATAAGAATCCTATAGGATTATTATAGGGTCCCATACGAATCCTATAATATTTTTGTTTCAAAAATCTTATAGGATCCTATAGGATTTTTTTTCGTAAGGGAAGATAAAGGGGAAAATCGAACGATCGAGGAGGAACCGACTCTCCACGGCGAGGACGCCTTGTCCCCGGGTAAGGACTTCGAGGATGGGGCGGAAGGCGTCTTCGGCCACTGCAGCAATGTCGTTTTCACGGAGGTCGATCATCGTGTTCGGATTCACGCCTGGTGCGGATGGGAATTATTCTCTCAGGAGTATTATTGCATTAAAGACCATTACAAGCAATGAAAATACTAAAAGACACAAAAACCTGGCTCTTAATTATAATTAAGACAGCTTAATTATACAAATAACAACTATTGCTACTGCAACCATTTTGCATTCAGCACTTTCCCAACGCCCACTAAATATTTTGGGAACACTTTTAATAAATAAAAAATAGGAATTTTTCAAAATCGCAGAATCTTTTTTACCTCAAGACATACGCAGGCCTTTTTTGATGTCAGAGAAAAATTAGGAACAACCGTGATTCTCTTTCTTAATTACGAATGAATTAATGAACAGAATAACCGCCGACCGTGCGAGCAAATAATTTTCAATTGTGTCGGATTCGAACTGGCACGATATTCATTTTCAAATGCCGCTTCCTCACGAAAGAGGAAAAAAAATTTGGTGAGATTTTAACTTTTGATGTTAAACTCAAGAAACTTAAGTTATGAACTTAAGTTATGAATTTCACTTAAAGTTATGAACTCCAATTGACCATGGAAATTGGAGGGCGTGAAAATCACGACAGCAGGAAATGTTAATTTGAGTCATCCCGCGAAAAAAATTGCCAATTTCAATGCGTCCAGATTCATTTTCCTAAATAAATAAAAAAAATCACAATATAATGAAAATATCGATTAATTAAAAAAAAAATTGTTTTCGAGAAATTTGTTGCCCGTTTTTTCCCCAAATAGCTGCAAAATTTTCTGATCGGCGCAGAAATGCGCAAGGTCGAGGGTTTACCTTTCCACCGGTAGTGTAATGATATGATATGATTAATTATACCGCGAATAATTATAACTTCTTTTATAAATCTTTTTCGGGCGGTTGGTTATAGCTCAATCTGGGTCTCCCTATCGCATATTTCCCATCGATTTCTCATTAGGACAGTGTTGTAAAATAAATAAACTCTCGTGGTAATACTGGGTTGGTGACTGTCATCGGCATAATTCGCTTTCTTTTACCACATTTCTCATTTTAAATAAGTGAAAATAACCTAAAATATTATTGATGACTCAAGAGACGTTGATATCCTTTAATTTGTAATACCTTCGGTTTTAATCCTTTAATTTTGTACCTTTTAATTAATGACGTCCCAGATATGCCACATACCAAATAAGCATTTAAAAAATGCGTAGGTAGGCAAGGATGAGGTAAATCTTTTCGTAACAGACGTGCAGCAGTCCGGTCCTTATACCTGGCAACTATGCGGTCGCTAGGTGCTATACACTCCTAGTGGCAGGAAAATTAAGAACACCTGTTTTCGTCGTGTGACAGAATGACGTTTACTTCTTCTTACGATTTTAAAATGTTTTCAATTTGTCCCGCTTCATAGGAAGTAAGTGAAACCTAACAGATTTTTTTCGCCGAAACAAAAAAAATTATGCATCAAAGGGTTCAAGGCTGAACTCTTGACTAGATGATATAAATTACCTTACGGAACGGTTTAAGGCCTCTAATGCAATGGTTTCTCTCGTGCATCAGTGATCATTTTCACATTTGAAACACCGAACTACAGCTGTGAGAAACCATGGACACTACCGAGGTCCAGCGTGCCAGCTCTAGGGCGTTGGGGCGTTGGCGTGGCAAGGGTTCCGGAGCGAGGCTTTCCGGTTGTGGGGCCAGGGCTCGCACCCGGGATCGGGCGGCGTGCGCAGGCAGCGGAAGACCTCCAGTCTCGGGAGAGCCTCGATCACCTTGGAGGGGAACTCCGAGAGAGGATTGTGACCTGGAGGGAAAAGGAGGTTCGTCGTGTCGGTCGATTTTTCCGTTCCGAATGCATCGAACTCGCTGGGGTTTTATTCTTTTCTGCGAATTTCTTCGCCGTTTGCCGATCGGGCGAGGGTCTAACGACTCACTGAGGTCGAAATGCCCCAGGCTCGGAGCGTGCCATCCGCGACCCTCGACCCTCACAATCTCGTTGTGATCCAGTCTCAGGTGTCTCAGGCTCGGGGATCGAAGCGCCGGCACCCCCGTCAGGGAACCGTTCACGACGGCCAGCACACCGAGGCGTCGCAGCTCGGGCAGGACCCGAAACGGGAAATCCTCGAGACGACTCCCGGCGATCTGAAGATCTCGAAGGCGATCCGCGGAAGACAGGATGGCCAGCGGATCGACCCGTTCTATGGCGGTGCCCGAGATCCAGATGCAGTCGAAGGCCACTCCTCCGAAGACTTCTTCCGTGAGTTCCTTCACCGCCGTGTTATTTCCGAGATGGAATATTCTGAAAAAGTATCTAAATATATATATATCTATTTTATTTATATATATATATTTTTTCTTATTTGAGTATGCTTGCGCTATCTCAGCAAATCGCCTACAGGCAAGGAGTTCGCATCCTTGGTAGAATCAGAATCACTGCGACCTCTGAATTCCTTAGTACAAACTTCAGCGAAATGTCCCTTGCACCGACAGCGACGTTTCGCATGAAGAGAAAAAGGAATAGAGGAAAGGAATCCGATAGACCGCACCGCTTAAAAAAAGGAGTTCTACTTAAAACTGTGATAAAATAATTTTACAAAGCTTTCAAAAAGTTCCTGTTTCCGTTTCTCCGAATTCTGGGAAGGTTCCACTCTTTTGGGGTGAGCAAAGAAGGGCGTCCTTGAATGGTAAGGGCCCACGCATTCTCTCTCTCGGGCATTCAAAACCGAGCGGGGATTTTCGCTCTGGTTTCGCAGTGATCCTGCGAACTTAAAAAAGAGTGAGCTATTTTCAAGCAAGGGAGCGAAACGGGAGTTAGCAATTTTACTCCCGGGAAAGCGAGGAAATACAATCATTGAGCTACTCCTTTACATGAGTAGAATTCATAACTTTTCCGAAAAAGAGAGCGCACTTTCCACACCAGTAGAAAAAGTTTGTGGTTATTCTCAGGAAAGAGTGAGCGAGAGAGAGAAAGAGTGAGCGAGAGAGAGAAAAGGTGAGCGAGAGAGAGAAAAGGTGAGCGATGGGTGAAGCAAGCGGCATTACTTCCCAAACGGGAGAAAAATCGCTAACTCCTGTTTCGCTCCTTGGAAATCGCCCGCTTCCCTTTAGATTTGTTCGGAACAAATGTCAACCTGTCGCTCGGTTTCGTGTGAACGGTGCAAGATCGGCTTGGTTCGAGTTGCATTTTTTTGTAGGGCGATTAGTATTCGATTATTCGATTAATAGTATTCGATTAATTTAATGCACCTATTAATCGAATGAAGTATTAATCGCGATTAAAATTATTCATGAAATTATATAATTTTGATGGACCTGCTAATATCCCCCAGAATGCTCATTTTTCCACCTATAATTTCATGATGAAGCCATACTCTAATTGATTAATCGGTCGATTAAATTAATCGAATCGACAGCCCGAATTTTTCCGTCTTTCAGCGACAAAACCCTTCCATCTCCATGGTTTCGATGCGTTCGGACAAAGTTTCACCTCGACACGGAACTATTTAAACCCGAGCACAAGCAAAAAAAAAACCTGTAAATATGTATAAACATTTCCAACTAAATCTAACTAAACCCGAATTTCCGAATTGTCTAAATACAGAGTGGGTTATAAGTAACTTCACCGGCGAATTCCCAGATTCGCTAATATTTATACCAACCGATGTTAGTTACTCATGATAAACGCGGTATTTTCGCTTGCTTTTTAGATGTTGTTAATATTTCTGTCAATCTGATGAGCTTATTTATGGTCCACCTTTTATCTTAAGAATGGCGAAAGTTCTTAATTTAGAGCTAGGAATACCAAATCTGCCCTCGAATGCTTTCTTGAGCGTGGTCAACATATGTACCATTGTCTTCCATAATATAAATTCTATTATAAACAATTATGTATTGTTTTATTTATAACAATTTTATTTAAAAATAATTACGAAATAATACGATTAAAAGTATTTTACCTTAAAAATAATTATTTTCCTGAAAATTTTCCAATCTGAATTCGATTGCAAAACGTCGATGACCCACGACGGGGGAAACGCTCACGGAAAAGTCGATGGCCAAGCCGCCTTCCCGAAGGCGGCAGAGATCGCCGCGGCGCTCGCGGCCCTCCCGCAGGACACAGTCGGATGGAGGAACGCGGGCGAGACGCCGCACTCGCAGGGGGCGACGTCGTCCTCGGGGCAGGCGCCGGATCCGTGCCCTGCTCCCAGGAGGACGAGGAATGCGAGGGTCGGAGTTGTACCTGCGGCCTTCATCCTGGACTCGGTGAGGAATGGGAAGAAGAACAATGCCGTGGGAGCGAACACTATGCACCCCGTACCGTCACCCTCCAACTCTGTTAACCGCATGGTAGCGCAGGTTAATCTGTTGCCACGCATGTTAACATAGAAAAATGTACCATAGGTTAACCTGAGGGGAACACCAATAGTTCCCCTTATTTGTACGCCTCCAAGACTGCATGCAACGTTCCAACTGGGGCCTTACCAGCAAACAACAAAAGAATAACGCTCGAGTTCCTACATGCAACCGAACGACGAACGAGTCCCGAGAAACTGTGGAAACTCCGAGACCTTTCTCTCCGTTTGCCTCCTCCGGTTTAACCTCACCGAGCGCGTCGTGAGTTCTACCGCTGTTTCGACCGGCGTGGAGGATTTTCCATTTACTTTTATCGAACCTCGTGAGCCATTTCTTGCTCGGCTCGACCCCCATCATCCTCCCCCCATTTTAATAAAAATTCATTTAATAATAATAAAAATTGGATATCCGCTGCGGACGAACGGAGATCCGCTCGACATCCTCTCAGGATGTGTCGCGGAAATCCGCCGGATGCAAACCAGATGTTTTCTCCACACGGAATTTGAATGCATCAAAAATCCCTTATGAATATAAATAAAATCATGGAATATAAATAAAAATATCATGCGGGTAATAGTAAATCCAATCATGAGAAAACTCCCTAATAGACTAAGATTCATAATGCTTCATAATGATTTTTTTGCTTGCCCCAGATGCAGTAATTGACGGCGAATTTAAGTTAAATTTGCTCCAGGAACGCAAGATTTTTTTTTTTAATTCAATTTTCTCATTTTATTCCGTGTGAGAAGCCAGAACGTGTGGAAAAGGCTGGGACCGTATATCGAGAATGAACCCACGATTAGACCAAAATTTAACAAAGTGATGGCGAGGGCCATTCTTTTAAGCCTAAATAAATAACCATCAATAAATACACCCAATACCAAAACCAATAAAAAAAATCTCTTCATCTATGAAAAAAACCTCTGGATTTTCCCTCACGATTGCTCATAAACCGAGAAAATCGAATTATATGAAGCTAGGGGAAGCAGGACGCAGGAAAAGAAATGAAACCGGGAGATTGAGGCGACGCACACCTTAGCCCATGAACCATTTCCACCAAATAAATTATACTATATATACCATGCACGGCGACCACGTAACGGGACGAATGCTTCCGAGCGACTGATGCGAGTCCCGCTCTCTCGAGGAGTCCCTCTCGACGAGGCTCCTCCCTCCTGCCGGGGGGGGAGGAGTCAAGTGGAATGTCGCTGAGGAAGGGCTCGTTCGCTTTTTACCCCGTTGCGAATGGCCTGCTGGGAGGCTCTGGGGCATGGCAACCGGAATGTTTATGTGTGCAGGCGAAATGGAGGTCGGGGGAATCTGACGCTTTCGATGTTTCGAGGCTTCGTCGATCGTTCCCGCTGTCTCTTCGCTGGAGCGAAGGTTGGCGGTGGGAAACATCATCCCGGCGTTTGATGTCATTAGGAGTATTGGTAACTTCTGGAATGAGGTATTCGTCGAAACCGACAGCAACGACGGAACGACAGCCGGTTCAAATTGCATGCGTCTCACGGTCAGACTCAAGTTGCATGAGGAAAAAAGTTCACAGGTCGAGGCTCGCGTATCTTGCTCAAACGACTGCTACATCAAATACGAGAAAGCTATTCAACGAAACTCTTTTAAAATTTAAGGGGAAACTTCGTTTGCTTCGAGGTACTCACTCGAAATGACATCGGGAACCTTGAACTCAATAGGAACAACGGTGAAGGATGGAGAACGCAGGGCGGGACGTAGATCACGAGTGGGGAAAAGCCCCCCTTGGTGAAACGGAATGTAATGCTGGTGGTTCCCCATGAAATTCTCGGAGACTCGACGATGCCGTGACCCCGCCGAGCCTGGTGGAACACGACCCGTCTATCTCAGCACACGAGATTGTATCGAAAAGTCGGGATCTTCGCAGGAGATATGCAGATGGTTTTGACGGCATTAGCAGCAACGCCGAGGGTACTAGCAATAATGCCGAGGTCATTGACGATAACGACGAGGGCATTTACAACAATGTCGAAGGCCGATTCCATGTCGATCCGCACCCTTTTTTTCCCCGACACCCTTCAATTTCCATGAAATTCGGCACGCTGACAACACCATTTTAAGAAACCATAGCAAAATTTCCATGCTTGATGTATTCTGAGAATAGCAGACAATAAAAAATTCAACAGTTTTGGGGCACTTTTGGTGCCTGGGATCACAATAACTCCCTCAATAACGAAGATGAATACGTGAATACGGTATCGTTAGATGGGTTATGAAATTCCCTATCAGATGATGTGTAACGCGCAGTGACAAAAGGAACGACCTTGGCCTACAAGTCTTGCACTGATCTTGTAACTTGACTCGACCTGGACCTAAATTACGACAATCGATTTCGCTTAAATTTTAGGACATCATCTGCCACGTTCTCCATTATGCACACTGCAAATTCCATTCTCGGTTCTTGAATATCAGCTGAGATATGAGCATTTTAGTGCATGACCTTCAGGACATGAATGCCATGCACTAAGATGCGCCTAAATAACTTTAACTTCCTTCCCATGCTCTGCCAATATTTCTATTTCAATCAAATTTCAATCAAAATTTCTCAAGGACATGTCGATCGTCCTAGGAAAAGGGAACGGATGGATTGCGACCCGGTCGTCAACCTGGTGGTAACCAGGTGGTAACCAGGCGTTCTGAATCACAAAAGGATAACTCGTGACCAGCGCTTCATTTTCCTTGAACTATCCCCCCATGTTCTTGAGAAATTGTTTGATTATTCCTTTCCAATGAAATCATGTCTACAGGAATGATTTCATTCCAGATTTTGAAAACCAGCAGAATTTCTTAACATTGCTTGCCACCGAGGAGACTTAAATCTGGTACAGGTGGCATCCACGTGGTAGCACACCACCTCCTCCAACGGTGGCAGTTTCTCCACCCGTTACCGACCTCTTCCATCTTGGCATCGAACATTGGCCAGATTCTCTTCCTTCCTCGAGACGGAAGGGATACGAAATCCCAAAAGCGGGATAGGATCCGTTCCCAGAAACACTTATTCATGGGCTGGATCAAGTTTCACGGACGTTCCGATTCCGAAGAAAATTCATGCAGGAGTAAAAAATATTGGGTTGCCGGGTGAAGAAAACATAATACTTTTGAAGTGCAACGCCTTGTTGCACGATTTCTTGCGTCATTTCATTGCTTTTCACTCCAGCAAAACGGAAATTTACCTCGTAATATATGGCTGAAATCTGCAGCTTTCTCAAATGGGAAATGTTAGGGTAGTTCTAGGGTAGTTGAATGAGGGAAAGTCCGAGGATCCACAGCGTCACTCTTTGCTCCTTCTTTAATGGGGAGGGGGAAAGAATCCTAATGCATTTAGGCTGGCCAAAGCAGTTTTTACCGCTCTGGTATGAACGGTCCTGGGGAAAAAGATTCCATGAAAGATAAACATGGGCCTCATCCTATTGACGTCTCCCTTTTCTTGTTGAGAAGCTGCAATTCACTGACATGCGAGAAATCCTAGAGTCACGCGAGGACAAAATAAAGAGAAGCTTACATCTTTGAGATTTCACCACTTTTGGAATGGCGAGTTCCGAAAGCTCACGCTTAAGCAAATGGGTTGGGTTTTTTTTTTCTACATCGTCGAACACAGGTGTCATGTCAATTGCACAAAAAGTAAACAAACTCACAACGACACATACGAAGACAGTCGTGCGCGAGTGGGTGAGTGGGTGGCAAATTGTCATCCGAATAAAATGTTGAGTTTCACTTGTGCGAAGCTGGATGGGCGTTAAGAGTAGAATATTTACGCCTAGGAGAAGAATGCAGAGAAGTGAAAAAGTGATTGAGGAAGGAATCAACATCTGCCGTCGTGAATGATGACTATTTGGTGGAACATTTCCGATAAATTCTAGAATAAACCATTTGCAAGACGTCGAAGACGGAGATGAGGGAAAACCCAAGGCACAATCCGACGATACCGCCAATATTGGACAATAGGTCGGGTAGGGTCACCTTCTCCTTCTCTCGAAAACGAGGGACCTGTCAGTCAGACATTCGTCGTCGAATTATTTTCTCGCTTCGATCGGAGAGAAAAAAAAAATCATACGAACCCGGCTAGAGGGAAAACCGAAGAAGAGAAACGCGGCTCCGTCTTTCCCGAAACTCGACACGGCGGCGTCGCAGGCCGAGGATGTCGGGTCCTCCGACACGCGGTAGTCCACCATGTTGCATCTCTTCGGACAGTTGCAGTTTCTCCATTCGTTTTCGACCTCTTCACTCTCGGCATTCCACATTTCCTTCAGATTTTTCATTTCGCTCTGGACATCTTCGCATTCCGGTTTCGTTGGACTCGCTTCCTTCGGCATGAGGGAGGGAATGAGGCACGAAACGCCGACTCGGGATTGAAACCGCTTCCAAAAGCAGTTCTCCATGCACTGAATTCGCTCTGGACATCTTCGCATTCCGGTTTCGTTGGACTCGCTTCCTTCGGCATGAGGGAGGGAATGAGGCACGAAACGCCGACTCGGGATTGAAACCGCTTCCAAAAGCAGTTCTCCAAGCACTGAATGAAATCCCTCTATCATATCGATTCGGACCGTTTCTTCGGTCATTCCTGCCATTTACCCAATACTTTCATCTAGGCTCACCCTCGTGTTGCTGTAGTTCTCTTCGACGCTGCAGGGTTCCTTCTTCGTACTCTGCTTCTCCACGACCTCAGGACGAAAGGAGACACTCGTCACGGTGTCATTAAGAAGGATGAAATTCTCCGGCCGAAACTGGTGGAAACTTGAATACTGCTCCCTCTGTAGGGTTCCTTCTTCGTACTCTGCTTCTCCACGACCTCAGGACGAAAGGAGACACTCGTCACGGTGTCATTAAGAAGGATGAAATTCTCCGACCGAAACTGGTGGAAACTTGAATACTGCTCCCTCTGGTCGTGGACGAACACTTCCATCTCCATCCTCTGCAGAGGATGGAGGACAAACAAAATCGAATAACCTCCATTAAATTATAATTAATTTAATTATAATTAATTTAATTATTTAATTATTATTTAAATGTAAATGTATGAATTAAAATGATTTAATTTTCACGGTAGCGAGAGGTCAATAGATCGTTCCCACCTCGTGTTCAATAGCACTGAATGCTTTGAAATCAAAGATGAACATCTGCCGAAGGCAGTTTCTTGTCCCTGTGGAAACATTTTTTGCCAAGAAGAGTGTGAAGCACTTGAAATACCTCACAGTGTCCTTTTGATAGAATGTTCGCTCCACCCAATGGCCACCGTCTGCATAATTTCGCAGGTGATGAGTATGTAATAAATAAGTTTTCAATATGTACTGGCATATGCTCACTTTTTGAGAGGGGCAAGATGATTTCTCCGTTGATTGCTGGTGCAAACTTCACATCGTTCCCTTTTGAAGGAGCGATAATGACGAAATCCTTCAGAGAAACGGATGCATTTTGGAATCGTTTCATCTCGCGACAAGAATCCTCCGAGAACCCGCTCTTAATGGACGGCTTGAGGCAGAAGGTGAATGCCGGAGGGAGGATCGAGTTCACATCGTCGATCTCGTAGGAGGTGGTTGTCGGCGAGGACGAGAACTCGTCGATCAGGAGTATCACCTGTAATGGTAGTTAATTAGAAAAGGCAATAATTGTTTACACTAACGTCATAAATCGTTTTATTAGACCTACCTGCCTGAGAGCAAGGGCTCCACATGCCACGAGCATGATCGCTCTGACGGCGTCTTGCGTCTTCATTGCTCGAAAGAACCCTTGAGATTAGAAATTCATCTACGGTTTCCTAAGTATGATAACTTGTATTTTCTAGTATGGATTCCATATTTATTTAAACCGGTTTTACCTTCGTCATGGGGAACTGGCGGATTCGGGATCGTTTCGGGATTCCATCCTTGTACGCTCTTCATCTTGAAGACGACCACTGGATTTGTAGTTTAAGGGAGAGATAAAATGGCAGGGAAAAGGGAATCCACACCTTCGAATGATCTGTTCTGCGAGGAACAGCGAATTTCGCACTCAAACGTCCTTGCGAATCCTCCAATAGAGTCGGTCGATGCCATCGTTCGACTATTTAGGTGATTGCCCTTTCAATTTTGATGACTTCGATCACGAGCCATTCCTGTTCTGGGACAAATCTTTCATGCATTTTTTACTTCACTTCTTTCTTACTCGGCCACGGTGTCGGCGGTACGACAGGAGCACATGAGCGACGAAATATTGAATATTTCATAATATATCCTGAAGTCGATTGAGGCTCCGAATTCATCGCTTACATTATAAAAAAAACACCGATCGATCGTTGATAAGAACGTTGCAACTTATAAAAATTGTATTTTGCCGAGAATTTGATCAATCCTCGTTCTTTCGCTCTCAACACCCGTCATCTATCTATATCTATAAGCAAGGATCAAGGACCATAAGAAAATGAAAGTCATGTGGTGCCTGACTAATGTATATGGAGCATTCGTTTTTTAAGATTTCCCTAATGATGCAATCAAACCCCTTGGTTGATGGAATAGGCAACTCACGCGCCATCGGCGCTCGTTCTTAAAAAAGACATTTTTTTTAGGGAATGTTCATAGAGACGTCATATTATTTCCAGCATGAGGATCACCAAGTGAAAATTCAGCGCGTCGTTTAGTGTTTCTATATTTTATTTACTTCCTCCCTGGGGTCGTCACACTCTTTGCATCTAAATCACAAAACCATATACGGGGGTAAATATATATATATATGAAACCAATTCGCATCCACAAGCATACCAGTACGCATCTACCTAGCCTATGACCTAGTAAGGCGTACGACAAATGCCTCGCGCCGCATGTTAAGAGAGGCCGAAATGTTCCTCGATGTCATTGAGTCAAGATCGATGTAAGCCAGAGCATCCGTCCAAGGGTTGGATAGAAGCTTGCGGAATCATCACTATCAGGGTAAGTACCTCCAACGTCGAACCGTACCTGTGGTATATGCAAACCAACAGCTATATTCTTTCCATCCCGTTTCCTTTGAAGATGAATGTGTATGAGAGTAGTATTGGCCTAAGCGTCCTTCCATGGGGTAGGCCTAGGCCTGCGAAATTAGTCCACCGGGCGTGTACCCCCCCCCCCCCCCTTCCGAAGTCTGAATTCCTCTAGAGTGAACAATGTAGCTATATCACACACTTCCTTCAATGACTGAGGAAGGAACGTATTCATGAGAATGGCATAAGCCTTCACCTCCGTCTAGGGGAGATAAGCGGCAGACTCAAGCACATTTCTTCTGAGTTTCAGGGGGAAAACTCCACTTCGACTGTAGGAAACTTCATCGTTAATTTTATATTCTGGCGAAAGGACTCTATGGGAGTCCCTTTTTCAAACTATTCTAAAGGTTCCATACAGTGCTCTAAGAAAAAAGACGTCATTCTGTAAATGCAGCCCGTAGTTATAATCTCTCGTTTCGTTGAAGTGTGAGCATTGGCCTAAGCGTCCTTAAGTGACATAGCCTCTTTGTATCATGATGTCAATGGAACATCATCATCAGTTTCCCCACCAGAAAATTAAATAGAGCCCATTCATATCTGCAAGCGTACCTGTACGCGTCAACTCGTGTCCTCTTCACCAATGGCCCAACAGAATAGGTCAAACGCCTAGTGCGTCAGAAGGTGTGTGTGAAGTAGTGTGGCAGAAGGATTCCCGGTCAAATGGGCCGATAAGTTCCTCAATGCGAATTGGTCGGGCAAGGTTGGTGTAGGCCTCCACGTCCGTCCAAGGGTTACCTATTGACGTGCTAACTCAATCCCCTCAGGGCACGTACCTTCTATGTCGAACTTCATCTGAAGTGTGACATAAAACAGCTATTTCTATTCTCTCCTGCTTCCCTGAATGAAGAAAATGTATGAGAGTGGTATTAGCCTAAGCATCCATCGATGGGTTAGACCTAGGCATGCAAAATCAGTCCCCCCACCCCTTCCCAAAACATGCCCCCTGGGCATGGACCCCCAAAGTGGGGCATTCAAAGTTAGACTTTCTCTGCAGTCGACAACCTATCAGCAATTCACATTCCTTCCGTTTTGATGAAGGCAAGGTGTGCTGGAGAATGGCTTAGGCCTAAGCGTCTGTCTGAGGGTAAGACTTAGGCTTACAAAGTGAGACCCCCCTGGAATGAGCCCCCAGGGGCTAATTACCCCCAAAGTTGGAATTTTTCTGGAGTCAGGAATCAAAAAGCTATTTTTGTACCAACTTTCAGCCTCTCATCATTTCTAGAACATAGTTAGAATTAGCGTCAGTCTGTCAATCAGTCACGATCGTCTATATACGTAATTTGATTCACTTTTATCCAGATCCATCCGCATCTATGTATGTCACTCCTTCCGAATGTCGTTCCGAAAATAAAAAAATGCATTCATTTGCATTAGACATTCAAACTCTGCAGTGCAGTCGCGAGAACGGAGCCTTTAGAGATTGCGCTGTTGCGCTCTGCACAAGAAGCTTAGGCCCGCTGGTTTCATGGACCCCTGGTAACGAAACGCACTCTACATTGCTTTCAGACTGAATTTGTGATCCCACTCCATCGGAAGTTTCGTTTTTAGCGAGCATCCAGCGACAGGAGAACCGTGAAGCTCTGTATCCTACTCAGGCCTCTTGGACAAACACTCCGCCCTATGCAGAGGACACGCAATATCGAATCGCCTTTCCCAAAATGCAGGAGTTGGAAATTCCCTTCCGTTGATAGCGAAATGTTGAGGGATCCTTCCTACCTTCGGATCGTGGACATCACCAATCGCTCAAGGAAGCATAGGAATTTTGAGCATTAGACATAAAAAAGGTGAGAGACGCAGTGAAACAGATCATCAGTGTCAAATGGAGGATGATGATGGGTCACTCGTCTCGTGACACGTTCGATTCCAGTTACCCGCTCCATGTTCCGAGAAAGGGAAGAAGGTGGAAGTTTAATCGTGGAGGANGACAGACTCATCTAAAGTTACTGGACCTGTGCTGGGAGGTGCTGCCGCATCCGCCCTACAGCCCCGACCTTGCCCCGTCCGATTATCACCTTTTCGTTGCCCTGGACCGTCACATGGGTGGAAAGCAGTACGTCAACCAAGACGACCTGAAAACCGATTTGGCCAACTTTTTCGTAGCGCAGCCGCCAGAGTTCCATTGGAATGGCATCCATAGTTTGCATAAACGTTGGCGTGAAGTGATAGAAGCCAATGGTGATTACATTCATGATTGAGATGATTTTGCTTTTAAATAAACTGGGTTATAATAATTGTTCATGAAATTCCGAGAACTTTCTTTCCAATCAGATAATTAGATTAACTTTTATCCAGATCCATCCGCATCTATGTATGTCACTCCTTCCGAATGTCGTTCCGAAAATAAAAAAAGGCATTCATTTGCATTAGACATTCAAACTCTGCAGTGCAGTCGCGAGAAGGGAGCCTTTAGAGATTGCGCTGTTGCGCTCTGCACAATAAGCTTAGGCCCGCTGGTTTCATGGACCCCTGGTAACGAAACGCACTCTACATTGCTTTCAGACTGAATTTGTGATCCCACTCCGTCGGAAGTTTCGTTGTTAGCGAGCATCCAGCGACAGGAAAACCGTGAAGCTCTGTACCCTACTCAGGCCTCTTGGACAAACACTCCGCCCTCTGCAGAGGACACGCAATATCGAATCGCCTTTCCCAAAATGCAGGAGTTGCAAGTTCCTTTCCGCTGATCGCGAAATGTTGAGGGATCCTTCCTACCTTCGGATCGTGGACATCACCAATCGCCAATAGAAGCATAGGAATTTTGAGCATTAGACATAAAAAAACGTGAGAGACGCAGTGAAACAGATCATCAGTGTCAAATGGAGGATGATGATGGGTCACTCGTCTCGTGACACGTTCGATTCCAGTTACCCGCTCCATGTTCTGAGAAAGGGAAGAAGGTGGAAGTTTAATCGTGGAGGAACAAGAAAATACATCGCCTGAAGACATGAGCTTAAGGAAGGGGGTCAAGAAGTAATGAAACCGTAACATACTTGGCCAGGCCAATAGCAGAATGAGCATAGGGGAGGAAGGAAGTGGGTGGTTGCGAGGGTAGGTATAATATATGCCAAAAAAAAAAGTCGTCGATTATCGGGATAAACCGGAGATATACATATGAAAAAGGCGTATATACCAACAGACTCCATACATATGTTGCTGAAAGTAGTGTATTAGCAATATTATTGTAACAAATAAACATGGACAATCGTATATAAGAAAGAGAGCGACTGACCGACGCTAATTCAAGTCCTTGAGCATGAAACACAAAAAAAAATTAGAAAGTTCACGCAGGAGTAAAAAAGAACTGGTTGCAGGAGGAAGAAAACATAATTCTTTAGGAGTGGAGAGTTTTCTGTTGAGAAGCTGAAGTTCACTGCCATGCGAGAAATCCGAAAGTCACGCGAGGACAAAATAAAGAGAAGCTTACATCTTTGGGATTTCACCACTTTTGGAATGGAGAGCTCCGAAAGCGCGCGCTTAAACAAATGAGTCGGTTTTTTTTCCGCATCATCGAACACAGGAGTCAATTGCTCAAAGAGTGAACAAACTCACAATGACACATATGAAGACATTCGTGCGTGAGTGGGTGACTTGCTTCTCCCTAGTAATTTCATGATGCTGTGACGAAGTTATACAAATTGGTACTCGAGTGGCACTTTGCTGATGATATGATGAAAAACCCTTCTTCATTGCACTTCATCGCAAAACTGCAAAACTTCAACGCAAG